TGAATATTAAAGTTTGTTAATAATTTATTGATTATTTCAGATGTTCAGTTTTGATGTTTAATTTATCGATCCTAAGTTTTGTAAATAATTTTATTTATAAATTTATCGTTGAGTTCAGCCGTGTGTACTTTTATTTATAAACCGTTGAAATTCTAATTGTACATCATACATCTCACACACACGGGGGCTCTTCACATGCTTCGGGGGCTCCGTGACCCCACATTCTCAGCCCACGTGATCAAAGGCGCCTCCACCGGGGCCTCCGTGCAGGGTCTATGGCGCCTCCAACGGGGGCTCCGTGACCCCACGCTTTCACCCCACGTGATCAATGGCGCCTCCCCTGGGGCCTCCGTGACCCCACGCTCTCACCGCGCAGGGTCTACGGCGCCTCCACTGTGGGCTCCGTGACCCCACGCTCTCACCGCGCAGGGTCTACGGCGCCTCCACTGGGGGCTCTGCGACCCCACGATCTCTCCCCACGTGATCAATGGCGCCTCCACCGGGGCCTCCGTGACCCCATGCTCTCACCGCGCAGGGTCTACGGCGCCTCCACTGGGGGCTCTGCGACCCCACGATCTCTCCCCACGTGATCAATGGCGCCTCCACCGGGCCTCCGTGCAGGGTCTATAGCGCCTCCACTGTGAGGAGCAAATAATTCAAGATAAAAAAATCGCATTCACGGTCGTGAATGAAGTTAAATGACGATCGTGATTGATCGTGATCGTGATTCGGCGATCACTGTGATAAATCACCGTTAGTGATTTTGCACGCCATCTCTAAATGAAACGTTAAAAAGTTAAGGTTGTCCGGCTAACTTCACAGAGGTAAAACACTTTCTTATAGGTACGATGTACTTACATTGTATGTTCGTTTAATCTATGTCGCACCTTGTTGGTAGCCTGCCAACTATAATTGATCGTTGAATATGTAGAACTTCTGGCACTGTGTTTTGAAATTGCTAATATCTTTCGATTGTTGTAACAATATGAACGTTTGATATTTATTTCGAATGTATACGTTTGTAATTTCTCGTTTAAAGTGGTTTTCTTTGAATAATTTATGTATTTGTCTAGGGACTTTAATTTTGCGACAGCGGCGCCACAAAGTTCCGCCGGGATAGAGTAGCGTTCCCGCGCAAACTAGCGCTGACCTAACTGTCGCCGCCAAAATATCTGACGTCCATACGCGTAACCGTCGTCGATCAGGATCAGGGTAGAGATTCATTCGCCGTTTGGTATTCCGCGGAGGAAGTCCTTCCGTTCGTATTCGAGAATAGTTTCAGCAAAGTACCGAGAAATATGTCTGGACGCGGCAAGGGTGGTAAGAATAGCATTTCTCCTGCAGCGATACGACGCCTCGAGCCGGTGGAAATTCGGAAAATCGTTTGTGTTTTTCCAGGAAAGACCAAGGGAAAGGCGAAGACTCGCAGTAGTAGGGCAGGGCTGCAGTTCCCAGTCGGAAGAATCCATCGTCTTCTTAGAAAAGGAAATTACGCAGAACGTGTGGGAGCTGGCGCACCGGTCTACTTAGCTGCCGTAATGGAATATTTGGCAGCTGAAGTACTTGAGTTAGCCGGGAACGCTGCAAGAGACAACAAGAAAACGAGGTTGGTTGTGCAAGCTTTCCTTTCCCTCCCTCCCCTCTCCTATCATTTCTCTTCCTGCTTTTACACGTATATTTAATTTTTTTTACTCGTGTGCAAATATATTTTTATAAATGTTCACTTAAGATTATTTTTTCCTTTACTATAATTTTCTTAAAATGAAGAAAAAAGACTAGAATATACATTGAATATTACAGTTATTGTCTTCCAAAAAACTATATACAAGTTTATGTATCATTTGCCTGAGGACAAATGTTCTTGTATACATGCAGGGTGTAGCAGTTGACCTATACTTGATACATAAATTGCCAAACTTCTAATCAAACATAAATTTGTTTTCTTTTAGGATAATTCCCCGTCATTTGCAGTTGGCTATTCGTAATGATGAAGAGTTAAACAAATTGCTCTCAGGTGTAACTATTGCTCAAGGTGGTGTACTACCTAATATCCAAGCGGTTCTCTTGCCAAAGAAGACTGGTACTGGTGGATCTGGAAAGGGAGACAAAGCATCCCAGGAATATTAGAATAACCTTTCTAACTTAACAGTACTTTAGGGCTATATCCTTAATTCTTTGATCTTAAAGAAACAAATATTTAGAATGTACAAGAATCACAATCATTATTCCAACCACACACATTGTAGCATTATTCAAGTTAACAATGCGATCTGCTGGTTCATTATTGAATAACATCTTCCATTTGCGTAATGTAATAGTCTTTTTTGCTTAAGATAAATATTTCCTGTACCTATATGAAGTTTTATAATTTAAGTTCATTTTCATTAATATACCCATTTCGTTTTACTTTGACTAATTCTGTATTGAAATTTTTGTATTTTATAAATTGTAACAACAAATGCAGTTAAGACCGGGTTACATATTTTTGTTGACTGTAAACATTTAGAGTGAAATAAAGCAAGATTACTCTTCACTTTATATTGCTGTTCTTTAATTACGACCTTTCTTTTAGACGTACGATTTCCTTGTAATTCTGAAATATACTACCCAAAGGTTGTATCTATATATATAAAAGTTCAAAGAAGTGCATTTGCAACAATTTAGTACACAATTTCGGGTGTGATAACAATATACACCGGTAGTTTTAAAACGTACAAATTAGTGTAGGTAGCGCGTCGGTTCAACGTGACGTTTGGTTTTTGATCGCTGGGTTAACGAATGCTATTTGTTAATGAAAAATATAATAATTTTAAAAAACGAAGCGGTGTAAAATGTCGTCCAGTGATATAAATATGCTTGTTGACATGGGCTTCAGTTTGTCTAAAGCGTAAGCTTTTTTTAACTACTCGGTTATTCCATATGTCTAACCTTCAATATTTTCACATGTATTTTGTTTTAGCGAGAAGGCGTTAGAAATTACTGGAAACAAAGGTGTTGTTCCGGCAATGGAATGGTATATAAAAAAATCCGTGAGCTTCATAATTTTTATATAAAATATCGGATAACAAGTTTCATTTGTATTCTAGGCTGTTGGCTCATACAGATGAAGCAGAACCAACACCAGAACAGTCTGTAGTTGAAAATGTACCACTGTCAGTTGCTCAAACACCAGTTCAAGATGATAGTACCAGTGCCACTAGTGAAATATCTAGTACTGAAGTTGCTAAGTCTATAAAATGCAATATGTATGTGTATTATACTTATTTGCACCAATTCCTTGGTAATCTTTAATTCATTCTAGTAATTGATACATGTTTTTAGATGTGGAAAATTGTTCAAATCTAATTTGGAAGTAGAGTTTCATGCAACAAAGTCTGGGCATGATAGATTTTCAGAGAGCACAGAAGAAAAGAAGCCCCTTACAGAAGATGAAAAGAAGGAACAATTAAGAATATTAACAGAAAAGTTAAAGCAGAAGAATAAAGAAAAAGCAGAACAAGAAAGAATGGATACAATTGTAAGAGAAAAGAATAGGATACGAGCTGGAAAGGAAATGGCTGAAGCTAGGAAAAAGTAAGTTTCTTGTTTCTCTCTTTTAAATAGTGACTAGATAATCTATTTGTCCTTATTTCTTAAATATAGGTGGGAGGAATTAGAAACAAAAAAGATGTTAGAACAAAGAAGGCATGAGAAAGAGCAAGAAAAACTAGCACGGGAAAGGGTAAAAGCACAAATTGAAGCAGACAGAGCTGCTAGACGCGCAAAAGCTGGTGATGAGCAGCCAGTGATTAAGCAAACTCCACCTGAGCCTTCATCCTCGACTACACATACTAAAAAAAACTATAGCGAAACAAGGCTACAGGTAAGGAGGTATATATTTATTTGTACACATCTTTATTAATGGCGATTGAGTGAAATAATAAGAATAAACATTTCAGATTAGACTCACCAATGGGACATCATTAACACAAACTTTTGGAAGTAAAGAACAGTTGTCTGCTGTTAGATTGTTTGTTGAAATGAACAGGACAGACGGGTCAGGGCCGTTTAACTTAATGACAAGCTTTCCAAAGAAAATTTTTACAAAAGATGACTATGATACCCCACTAGATGTTTTAGGTATGCAACAGTATAATTTTGTAATGTATATTTCATTAAGACAGTTCAATAAACTGTTATCAATCTATCTTCTCTAATGATGCATTTGAAGGAACAAAGTCCACTCATATATGATTATCATGATTGTTTGCTTCCAGGTCTAGTACCATCTTCAGTTATAATTGTTAAGAGTGCAGTGCAGGAATCCGCATAAACATCTGCATACGAATATATACTCATACAAATATATACAGCCTATGAGCTAACACATCAACGTACAATGTCCAGGAAATTGTTCAGCGCGAAAGCAGCATTTTTAAGCCTAAATATTTTCCGTTTGTAATTTATAAGCAGTACAATTTTACCAGACATTTATTATTCGAGAACGGTATTATTTATAAAAGTTAAAGGAATAAAAGAAAATACAAATTTTGAAATGGTGAGAATTTTATTTAAAATTTGTTACCTATTCAACGCAAGATAATTCTTAATTACCAAGATTATTTGTTAGATCTTTTTATGCGTGTTTTCATGAAACTACACAATAGAATTACAGTCATACCCTTACTGCAAAGTAGTTATGTGGTATATCACCAGGATACTTTACGTTTCCGCGACAGTTCGTGGGATATCCGTAAACACCGTCGCAATTGACTAATCGTAACGTTTTGTCGAAACATATACGTATTTCAAATAGGTATGATTCTCCGGTATCCTGAAATAACGTTAATATCAACAGTGGAAAATTTAATTTCCAAAATATAGAAATATATTACTATAACGAAATTCTTACTCGGTTCTTTCTACATTCTACAGTAGCGTGTGTGCCCAATACTTGTTGAATCCCGTTTAAAATGTCGGGTACTCTATACGAAAACCCAGGTACGATATTTGCCCTTGCCAAAACGTTTTTCATGTCGTACTTGGACAGCAAAACGAGACCTTCGTTGAAATACTTCTGCTCGGTACTTAATTGCGGAAGTACTGCCGCACAAGTGCCATGCTTATTCCACTCGTGTTCCCAAAGAGAGGAAGACTCCCTTCCGTACTCTATGTCAATCCATTTCTCTTTCAATTGTCCCGCCAAAGGCGCCAAAGCATTCGGATCGAATGGTAAGGAAGGGTTACAGAATGCCGGGCCTAATTTATTAAATTGTGAGGGCCAAATCCCGTGGATCGTCCATTCCCCTTTGTCCCTCGGTAGTGCACAAGAATGCGAAGGGTCTTTCTCCTTCCACGTGTAGCAGACTGTTTGTGGCCAATGTTGAGTGAAAATTAAAACATCGAAATCGTGTTTGCCCGCTGTCGCGTACCTGCGATCACATCGAAAGTTATTTCGGAAGAGAACGAAAAATAATTAGAATAATAGTAATGGAGTTTAATAGGAGACTTAATCTCGACATTTTACTGTGTATACCCGAGAGCTTGAATTTTACAAATTTTATTTCCATTTATTGCTATCACGAAAGATATGTTCCAACAAAGGGATTTTTTCACTTACCCATTCAGTATAGCGAAGAGAAATAAAGACAAATTTAGATTGTGCTTAAACATCTCTGGGGAAGACACAGGCGAGATGGAATCCAATACGTGTTCAGCGAGAGTGAGTTCAGTTCTATGCTCCCGTCGCCTTTTATAAGAACCGCCCCACCATCGCTACCTTTTCAAGCTGCACATAGCAGCTGGTCGACTACCTGTGTGTCGCCGTATCTTTTGCAGAGTATTCAAAATAAAAGTTCCCCGTTACACAATTGGCCTGTCACTGTTAGAAATTATCTTTTCTATGTTTACAGGTAAAAAAAAATTACACTTTCAAAAATATTTGTTTGCGAGTATTGCTGATCTTTTACTTAAGTATATTGTTTATCTTTTCAACTTTTTTCGTTCTACAATGCTGTCCGCTGCGAAGCACGAGTATAGAGATAGTGATTAATTGCCTCTTAATTTTCTTTTAACAGCTTTCCATCAGTAATTATCTGTGATATATTTTAATATATTTTCCGAGATAATTTAATGTTTATCGATTTAGAAAAAGTTGATAAAGATCTGACCTTATTCTCGGAATCGAAATTATAAAAATAAAAAATCTCTACTGCGTGACACGTTTCAGAAAACCTTGATGTCTATTAAGTTTAAATAGGTTTATTGACTTTTGAGACGTACTGTATTCAAATTTCAATTTTTGCGACAAATATCCTTGATCACGTGAGATACCTATCGGCTATACATTTGTTGGATTTATATGGAATTTGCCGGATTTGTCTTTTCGCAGATGTAATTTACACCTGAATGGGCTTAAGTGTCGATACGCGTGATATTATATAAGATATCCGTTAGTAAACTGTATTTCATGTACCTTATGTACATACATTTATCGACAAAAGTTAAGAAACCGGAGCATTTAATCAGACACCGTGGTAACAGATTTTTTTTGTATTATTTGCATATGTAAATGTTTGAAGAATAAATGGAAGAAACATACGAAACTATAAGTAAAATCGACAATCATATATTCTTGTCTAAATACGAGCAACAGATGTAATGCTCATAAAGTGTTTTGTTTCCTTTACATTTTCTCGGTGTAGCGTATGAAACAGAACGTTACTAGCAAATATTATCAATACAAAAAGTAATCAGATTAGATTAGATTACATAATTGTTCTTTGTGTTTTGATACATGCAACCCGACATGCACATAGCAATGCAACTTTCATTCTAGTTCGGTCTCCCTACGCTGAGTGTCGCTACCGACGCTGTTCGATAATCGAAAATTTGAAAATGAATTTCAGTGAAACCGATTTAATGTTATTCCGTATAACTATCGATAATCCAAAAAAATATCTGTAATGATTACGATTCAGTAATATATTATGAAAGAACGAGAGAATATATGACACTTGTCAAGCATTTGTAACGTTGTTATCCCAACGGATTTTATCGCTAAACATAATCTCAGGCGGTCTTGATGGTTCAAGAACATTTCCTAAGAATGCATTCTTTTTCGATTGAAGTCTATTAATATTTCTTTCTTTTAAATACCATTGATGGCCACAAAATAGAAAAAGAACGCCTTTCCTAAATAATGCCTTATCTGCCATCAACCATCAATGTACATCCAAACACGAATACTCTTTTTCCACCACGCAATCATTCGATCATTTGGTCCAGTATCACTAAGAATGTATAAAAACGTTCAATGTTATTCTAACTGTTATTCTGTACACGAAAATCCTGGAAATTACAGAACTATCTTCTTAAGTATTGATATTAAAATGACTCTTCGCGAGCCTACCGATGAAGTGTAGGGCTCGGAACGTTCTGTTCGGCTTAAACCTCTGTCTCAGTAAGTAGTATGTAAGAACCCTTAGTACAATGAGAATTATTATCAGAGCAAGCACATCCACCCAGACCACCACGTTTTCCATTTCTAAAAGGAATAAATATACGTATCTTGAGTTCAGGCTGTTACGCGATACATATACTAGTGATGGCGATACATTTGAATTGCATCGATATTTGGTATCGATACGTATTGATACCCAGAGTATCGATACATATGTATATCAGGAATAAAATTTCGATATATATAGGTTAAACATTGATACTTGGAATATATCGACACACTAAATATCGATATTTGAATTGAAAAGTATCGATACTTGCAATGTCGATAATGTATCGCCCATCACTAACATATGTATACCCATTTCAAAGGTACAATACATTCGATAGTATTTGCCACAAAAAAAAAGAATCTTACTCATTATCAGTAAAAGTTGCTTAGGCATTGTGAACTCGCAGAATATTTCCGATGGCGAGCAATACAATTTGTTTCTGTTGTACCCGTATAGAATAGTGACGAGGCCTTCCAGACCGTACCGAATGTAACTCAGATACATTATCAGTTTACGATAAATGGGCAGCGCCTGTTGCTCGCCCATACCTTGTACCGCGACCAGCATTAGCGGTACAGTCAGCGCAGGCCCAACAAATGTCCCGTTCTGAAAATTCGACTTATGTTTACGCAAATATAAAATTTTATGAATTAATTTCTGGAAACAGAAAATGAAGAAAAAAATTGTAACCCACTAAGAGTTGGAGTAGGTTCGAAGTAAAAAGAAAATCTGAATAAATTTTCTGAAACTTATTACTATAATAAATCCTCGATGAGTGTTCGAAGGCTCCTCGAGTTTAGAATGCTGAAGCCAATGATATTTGTTTCAACTTCATAGGGCCATTTAGTTTATGAATGTTCAGTACTGAGAAGACTCCGAGCACTCATCAAGGATTTACTGTATACTGAATTTTAGATGATCGGAAATTCTATAAATGCATAAAATCTGCAGTCTAACAACAATAAAATGAAAACACACCACTATATTCAAGGTGCTGCCTATTGCCAGGCCGATGCTTTCGGCTATAAACATGCATATAAAGCAGATCCCGAAGAACGTCGCGCATCTAAAGAATTCCATCGGTTGCCCCGTAATTACGTACACCATCGATAAATATATCGACGATACCAGTAACTATAAACAAGAAAAAAACGGACGTTAATTACTGAACCGGGTTACACAGGGCAGAGTTGGGTAACATGTAAACTAATTACAAAACCCAAATCACAATTACAATGTAATTGCAATGTAACTACAAGACTATTACAATTACATTGCAATTAACTATACAACGCAATTACATTGTAATTGCGATTTAGATTTTCTAATTAGATTACATTTTGCCCAACTCTGACGCAGGGTACTTATAAGTGTAACTGGCAAAGTAGATTCGCTGTCGTCTGACCTGCGCTGGTATGTTGGTTAACGTGTGAGCCAAATAATACGGACACAGGTTGTACCACATGTTGAAATATTCCCGTTTGATCAGTTGCACCTCCGAGGGAACTGTAATTTTTCATCGTTAATTTCGTCGAAAAATTGACCGATTCTCGATCGTGAATAAAAGTACGATATCTCGAGAAAAAAAAGCGAAGAGGATAATCGAGGACACCGGATAGATGATCCGAGCATTTTTCTTTTTTGGAAAAGCAAGACCGAATCTTCACGTGGTAGACTTTAAACTGGCTGAAATTTTTTTTCACGTAAAATTTTTTAAAAGCAATTTCTAGCCCCTCCCCTAGTGATGGGCGATACAGATCGATATTTCGAATAACGGTACTTTTCAATTCAAATATAGATATTTTGTATTGATATTTAATACGATGATATATTCCAGTATCGATACTTAACCTATAAATATCGAAATTTCGAGAGGTAACATAACAGGTCGTAAGGAAAACATAACAATCGCAAGCTTCCTATAATGTTTACGATTGATCAATTTCTTTTCCGCACTGTTACCTAAGAACCCTGTCTGATATTAAATAAATGATTTATTTTAATTTTATTACTTCTAATTTAAATGCAAGTATCGATACCGATAATATCGATATTTTATTCCCGATATACAAGCGTATCTCGGGGTATACTCCCGGGTAACAATACGCATCGATAACCAAATATCGATACAATTCAAATATATCTCCATCGCTACCCTCCCGTTCCCCAAAAGAATGGTCGATTTTCCTCGTATAAATGATTGTTTACTCTCTTACAGTGCATCAATACCGGTAACATAGGTACGTAGAGGAGGACTATCAAACAGGCGAAGCAGAAGCCAAAGTTAAACAGAGTTTTCGATCCGTCGTTCCCGACGTTCAAGAACAGACCGCCAACCATAAAGCCGAGGAATATGTGTAGGCCTATTTTCAGATACAGATAATTCTGCGGAAAAAAAAGAATCAGAGCGAACGTTTTTTTTTTCATTCTTTTTTTCTTGCAATCAATAACCCAAAACGAAAATTCGTTTGCAGGTACGTGAAGAAGAAGCTAGGTAGAATCGGAACGAGGATATTTTTCCGTACCTTGTTTCTGTACAGCTGCAGCATCATACGTCTCGAGAGAACGAGAAACTGATCGTACCAGGACAGTTTCGGCATCCATTTAGCGAGTTGCAGCTGTTGCTGCGTGATCGTCGTCGATCGTAAGAGAGGAACAATTGGCTGTTCCGTGGCCACCAGACTCGCCATACGTCCGACCCATTCCGTGCCGTATTCACCCGCGGATACGTCGATCACTGGAACGGAATCCGACCACGATCTAATCGTAGGGTGGATACACACCAGTAAATGTATACACGTACCAGTGAATGAACATTATTATACAGTGTGAGTCACCCAATGTTTGCACCTCAAATATCTTTGTTGCTATTTAAGATACGTAAAATGTCTTAAGGACAAAGTTGAATGGTTCAATGGAACTTACACAATGCCAAACAAATTTTTGTCTTTGTCATTTTTTTTTTTTTTTTAGAGATATCAAGGTCACCTTCATTTCTTTAAATGGAACATTTAGTTTCTTTTTTTAAATGACCTTGAATAAGTATAGTCTATCATTGTATGTGTATATAAAAACGAGTAAATTAAGTTATGAAAATAAGCAAATGATTCACACTAGAACTTCCATACCCGTCAAAAAAAAAAGAAAAATAGGTGTGGACATAGAAAATCCAGGAGGTGACAGAAGCAGAAAAATAACGGGTGTCACGGATGCTTTAGAAATCTAAGTTTCTTGTGTGCCAATTATTTATTAATATTATTATCATTTAAATATTCGATCTTTAATAATTACAAAATCTCTCGAGTGTTCATTCATTGGCACGTTTACCCTATTGTTACAAGAAGAAGCCCCGGTGCATTATGGAAAACTTACCGAAATCGGCAGGATTGTAATGTTTCGGGCACTCGATGCCCACTTGCCGAAAAAACGGCACCAGATTGGCCACCGTGCTCCTGTAGATGCACTGACCACCGGACACGACGTAAACGTGGTCAAGCTTCGCGAAAATGCTCGCGCTCGGTGTATGGAGGGAACAGATCACGGTTCTGCCCAGTCGCGCGAAATAATTCAAAAGATCGATGCACTGCGTGGCCGATATTTCGTCCAGTCCTCTGTAACGGGAAAGTCAGAATTTCGATACGCCAGCTAGTGGCAGAAAATGAAACTACTGAGGGTAAGTCGAGTATCCATATGATCAAGAATATTTAAATAGACAGATCGAGGAAAACCTTTTTTCTATATTTGTTGTATTATTTAATGTTTTTAAATTAATCGGTATAATAACAGTCAGAATTATTTTCACAGGCTTCTGATTCAATTTTAAAACCGTTAAAAGCTATTGTGTATGCGCGGTATTTCAACTGTAAACAACTATATATAAATTTGAAGGACCTACTATCAATAGTTTTCCATCTTGCCACCAAAGGGCCAAAATCTAAGCCACGCCTCCACCGACTATCCCCAGACGGTATCATCGAATCGCTTTTTGACACGTTGTATATTTTGCAGACGCATTCAAGATTTGTACCGAACGGTTTGTCCCGTTGAAATGAACATTTTTATTATTCGTACGAGATGTTCACACTCACGTGGTCGGCTCGTCGAGAAATATAACGGGAGGATTGTTCACGAGTTCCAAAGCGATCGAGAGCCTCTTCCTCTCGCCACCAGACAGATTCTCGGCGGGCGTGTTTTTCGCGCGTCTCAGTCGTAAAATGTCCAGGATCTCATCAATCTGGAATCACGTGGATCGTTAAACATTCTACCGACGATAACCGCAAAGTCTCGATAACTGAGTCTCGATTAACAATCAGAACTACCAAAGCAGGCAACATGACATTTTGCGTTACAGTAAATCCTCGATAAATTTTCGAAGGCTCCTCGGCACTGAACATTAAATATTCCATAAACTAACAGCCATATACGGCTGAAGCAAATATCACTGGCTTCCGAAGTTCAAGCTTCATCACTGTGCTAAACCTCAGAAAAAATATCAGCGTAACATCTGGGGACCTTTCGTTGTCAGTGCCGACGAGCCTTCGAACACTCGTCGAGGATTTCCTGTATACCGACGGAGCTTTTGTCAAAAATATACAGAGTCGAATAGCAATTGTATTTCACAATCGAATGGCCCGAAATGTTGGGGAGAGAAAGCATTGGCCACACCAAAGTCGCGTAGGGATTTCTCGAAAAGACGAATGAAAATATGTATGTACGCCGAAACCGCGGTTTCTCCCTTTACGATCGCCAGCATCTCGTGGCGCGTGTCGGGAGTACAAACGGAGTCACGCGATGCAATTCGAGGGTTTCGTGACTTTCCGAGAATATGTAGATATATGTATGTACGTCGTTCCGAGTCAAACGTTGTCCTCGCGACGCTAGGTTTCTGACCGAACGGCAACGTTTCTCTATCGCCACGCTGAACGGCGAACACGAAAGGGCTTCCTTAAGCTCAAACTACATCGGTAGATATCGTAAACGAAACATATCTGGACCCCAGATAACCAGAGTGTACTATCAATTGATTCTCGTTCAATTTTTAAGCAGCATCTGCACTATATAGCAAAGTTACAAAACTTGTTAAAAAACAGAAAGAAAAAATATCGATAATAGGATGTGAAATGTTACACACACTTGGCAGGAGCTATAATAACAGTGCGCAGCAAAGTTACACAACAATTTTTTATACGATACTGTTTTGCTATATAGTGCAGACACAGCTTTACCATCGATTTGGTCTCCTCTAGAAGTTCAAAAGTCTGACACTTAATAACACTCTGGCTCTGAGGTGCAGATATATGTGTATTATTCTGCTCACAGCGGTGAGTTTCGTTTTCCTCGAGACATTGCCGAGCTTCAAATCGACGGCGAATTGCATCGCCTCGTATATCGTCAGCCTCGGTTGTATCAAATCCTCTTGCATGATGTAACAGGACACTTTTTTCAATCGGTCCACACCCTCCACCCGTCCATTCAGGCTAATGTGTCCACTGACACCTGTCGATCTGAAAATATATATTTCATTGCGTTCGCGACTCAGTGAATGTAGGGGAAGCTTGTCGAATTCGGACCATCGCCTAGGTTGGACCACTAACTTGTCATGTGAAAGCAATTTACGTCGTATACGGCGTAAATGTTCATGACATAAATGAGAGTATATGGGCAAATTTTTATAAGAAAGTACAACAAATATCGTTTGCAATATTGTATCAACAAAATATGAATTTTAATAGTTTTTAAGGATATAATTACGAGAAAAATACATATGTTTGTTATATTTATAATATACAATACACATATATAAGTATTCAAATTCTTTCAAACAGAAGAAAAAAATTACAGCCAAATTACATGACCTAACCCAGACCTAACATGTTATCCACAATAAATTCAAATAAAAACAAATACATTTTGAATGATTTTATTACAATTAATCCGTTGCAGATTACCCCAAACGTTTCTTATTCGCCTCAACGACATTTCGACGACATTATCGACATATCGAGATATTGACAACATTTCGATATCGTCGACATTTATCGACAGTCGCACCTCTAGTCTAACCTAGAAGATGGTCCAAATTCAGCCACCTTTCCCTAACAGCGACAATCATAACAGTGAAACGACTGTTGTTTCGACGCGAAGAGTGTCTGTTCTCGTTTCACGTCGACGGAGAGCCAGTCGATCGATCGTCTCGTTATTAGGATTCGTGTTAATTCTTGCTTAGGCGAAGAACTTCCGCTTCGGCTCGTCCGTGGGTCGCGAGGTCAGTGATCTTTGACAGTAGTCAACCGAGTCGAAATGCTTACAGGGGCAAAATCGACGCGAGTTTTACGCGTGTTTCGTGCGTGTGCTGTATAAAGGGGGTTAGAGAAGCGACGAAAAACACGAAAGTGGAAATTTCCGTCTCGAAACGATACGCGGCGTTCGATGAATCGATCGATCACTCACTTGTATCCGGCTAGGATATTCAACAGAGTAGATTTTCCAGAGCCTGACGGGCCCAGAATCGCGGTGACCTGTCCAGATCTGAATTGTCCGCAGACTCCCCTTAAGATCACTTTCGAACCTGTAGGCACACAGGGATGGAGACATAAATATTTTCACGATCAATAATGGTCAAAAACACCGAAACGAAAAGAATCAGTGATAACCTAGCTGTGGAATTTTATGCAAATTCACAACTTTAAATACTAACATTCACGAATTAAAATTGGGCAGAATTTTGAGCATTCTACTAAAAACTTTTCTATAGAAATAATAACGCAGAAATAGCATTAAATTTAATTAAAACCTTCCCCGATAACCAGTTGTATGCAAATTACGAGCAAATGTCCAGCAAATAATGATAAAATTTGTCTAAAAAATTCGTAGCCATTTGTTTTCCCATTTGATTCGAGTTTCACAGGCAAAGCCTGCTGACAAAATGATGAAACAACTTGGCAGCAAATTAGCAGCAAGTCTTGCAACACAATCCAGGCTAACTAACCTAGGTCAATTTATAACCTAGGCTATATTGCAAGACTCAAATTTGAGAAGAAACAATTCGATTGCCGTTTAACGTGACAGTAACTGTTAGGTCGTCCACCGCTTCGAATACGCAATGACTGTAACCGGGATATGTTTTCAACGCTGTACTTAAGTACACCCGTTGATTCCATGTGAAAAACAATATGTAATACAGCCGGGACGAAAAAAAAGTCCACGTGTCGTAAACATTGAAACTGGCATAATTTATTTCTTGTCCGTAGTTAACTAGTTTTCGATACCGGTTGGAAGCATGCTAATGACAATAGCGCTAGGATGTTAAATATCTTCCTGATACAGATCTCGTGTCGATTATCTCGACAGTACATACGTAGTAAAATCTAATTTTATCACATAACCTGTGTTCATCGGTGCAACGATAAAAATTGCGATTCACTAGAATGTTATCAATTATCTTTTTTTCGATAAATCGTCCGAAAAATACGTGAAAGAAATTTCATCGATTATTAGAATTCAAGGTTCCACACGTTCGTCGTGAGTTTGTCAATATTTTCGAAACGATGTTTAAAAAATTAAAAGACAAAATTTTGTTTTTATCACCCTGTTATTTCCGTCACGCCTCTAAAATTCGTCTGTTCCTGATCCTGTATATACAACGAGGAAATTCGTTTTCCTTTTACGGTTGAAAAACACGTAATTGCCACTTTGATCCGCGAAGGAAGTTGAAAACGTTTTCTCAAGTACGTATCTCCGCGAGCAGTTAGTTACATATCTCTCTGAAGAGAAAGGTTCCTGGCAGCTTTATGCAGCATAGAAAGCGAAGTACCGAGAATCATTGTGGTTTCGGTGTAATTAGAGTCATAATAGAATTAGAGTAGCCTCGCGTGAACCCCACGGAGGATCTGAATTCACGCTATTGTAGTCTCGAGGAAACACCGTCGTTTCCGTCACAGGACAGCTACCGTGTCTACAATTATCACGGTTTAACCCTTCTGTTTCCACAGAAGAAATACTCGTTAACAATTTTATTGATAACAATCACGAAATACAAAAAAAAACAAGTGTTTTTGGGAATATATTGTTTTTTTCGATTTCTGTCTACTGATTTCCGCACTATGCATTAGCGATGAGCGATACATCGACAGTTAGTATCGATATTTAATGTGACAATATATATTCCAGTAGGTCCACTTAACCCATAAATATCGACATTTCGATACAATCGCTGCATTTGCCGCAACATAACAGGTCGTAAGAAAGGTTGACCAATTGCGAGCTTCTCATAAAGTTTGCGATTGATAGATTCCTGTTCCACGCTGTTACCTAAGAATGAGTCTTAGTAAATATCTGTTGAAATAAATGATTCATTTTCAATTTGGATTGCATTACTTTTAATGTAATTGCAAGATAATATCGATATTTTATTACTGATATACATATGTATCGATAACAAATATCGATACAATTCAAATGTATCGCCATCACTACTATGCATCGCCACGACTCTTCCGAACTCAGTATTCCAATTCACAGTTGCGCAACCGTGGGCCAGGAGCTGAATCATAAGCAGAAACAAAATTCTTTTCAAGCGATTACGTTACAAAAAAAACGTCACTCTCGATTATGTATTTCGTGTACGAGTTTTCGACCGTTGTTAAACGTGCATATGCAATGAAAAGTCTCTATGTGGGTGGCCGGGCGACTCGAGAGCTTGTCGGCGTAACGCTCTCGCCCTGCATTGTAAATGCCACCAATACGAATAAACTTTCCGTGACTCGGGCAACGAAGCGTGTATTCCAACAGCAATGCCTGTAGTCTATTTGTTGTATCCTACCTAAGCCTTCAAGAATGTATTGTACAATCGTTCTAGGAATGTGTTTTACAATCAATGGAAACAACGCGAAGGTTACCTAAATGGTTTTTCTCTAGATTCACCATGACATAATTGCCTGCTGATACGCGTCCCTTCTTCTCCTGTTTTCATAAATTGTCAATGAACACTATTCGATTTTGTCCCATAAATTTTGTTCTTTTTTCCCAAGCACATACTGATCAACTGTCATTAATCAACCGTGTTAATCGTGATACAAGATATTCCCATTTACATTTGATTACCTCGTTACATATCTGTACGGTAAACATTATAAGAATTCAGTAAAAACTTAAACGAGTGAGATACGATGATGTATGTCGACCACTGTTTTCTAACCTAGCTTGTAGTATGCCCCACCCCAATACCTCGAAGATCTTGACGCCCCCCCCCCCAACACATAATAGTGAAAGAAGTTCTGAAAAAGTTGAACGTTAATAGTTACTTCAAATGAAAAAGGCACATAGGTAAAACTGTTTCCGACGGAGTCTGCCAATGTTTTGCTAATCGCCCTCTAAAATATTCAAATTGCCCCACTGTGGAAAACACCGATGTAGATGATGAAATAAATAGAGTTGCTTTTTTGTGTGATACATACACGCCGTTATTAGTGGTAATGAGTAGTATAACGAAAAATTTTTTAATGAGGCTGTATCTTCAAAGAGAATCATCTGAACACTTCTGCGAGTCACTGTGTTTTAATTTAAATCGCAGAAGAACACCTAACTCATTGATATTGCATATACCTCGAGGCAAGTAACATACGATGCAACATTTCTTTTGTCTTCGTTATGCAATTTGCGATTTTTTTTATTACCATTCAAACAACCTTTTTTTAGTATTTTTCAATGTGTCGTGTCTGCGGGTAATTATATGATAATTTCGAGCTCAGTGTTACTTGAAAAGTACCAGGAACCTCTTTCAAATTTGCACGACTTAAATAAAAAAAATATATATATGTTCACGAGGATTTAATCTGTCGGTAATAAAGACTGTCCGTAAACCACACGTTCGCGGCGTTCGAGATCTACAGACGGGATTCTACGAGGTGGAATCGAACAGTTCCCCGTGAATTATGATTTAACGTGTCGTTACCTTTTCTACCATAGGGTATCGTATAGGTGAGCTCGTTAAACTCGACGTCGACAGGAGCCATTCTTTTCAGGTGTGACAACGACACCGACGCGTCCTGCGTAGGCGGGAGTTTCGAGCATCCATCGCGCTTCACGTCCGCCTCGATGTCCGATCTTAACATCATGGTTTATCCTGCTTTGATTTCCCGGAATTGATTTACGTCCGTTTCACTGGACCCATTACCCGCGAGACGTTATATCCCCCTCTCGTAATACACTATTAGTTTATCTCGCAACTGAAACGCCCCTAAAAAATTCTTAATATATTGTAACGTTCTTCGAATTAACGAGAACAGTATTGAGAAATCAACCAACGAACAGTGCCGTACGTAACAGACGAGGGTCATTCGCGAATCGTCTTCTTTAATCACGAGAATATTCGCAGACGCATGTAAGAAGGCTTATCGCGACTGTTTTGTAAATGGATCGTACAACGGTCAAAAGCTATGGAAGATCGTGGTCAGGGGGGTTATGATTGTCCCTAGTCAAAACTGTGGCGATAAAAACGGTAAGTATCTCTTTCGTCACTGGGGCGATACTGTGCCAGACTGCAAGCGCACACACACGGTTCATGAGGACGGACAAAAGATCAGCGCACGACAAATCGTCGGAGAAGACTGATGAAATGAATATTGTCGAGCTTTGTCTGTTTCACGCGACTCGGCTGCTCTCAGACACACACACTCACACACATGTCAATTACGCATGTTTCTCACACCATCCGCGACAACCACACAACGTTATAAATAATAATGATAGCGGATATCATCGCATTGAGAGACTGTTGTGTGTCAATCTGCATTTTGGTATAAAAAACCCGGAAAAAATGGTTCTGTACAAAATTTCATTACACACATCGCTCTGACCATGATTCTCACAAACTGATCCAGCAGTCCCCGTTCGAAGGTCCTATCTATGACGCAGACATTTAATCGATAAAAATCGTTGGACCGTAAACAAAGAAACGGAAGAAAAAAAGAGTCATCGTACCCAAAGTCCAAAGTGAATTATGCGTCTATTAACGTGGGTAATTGACCTGCATGGTAATCGGTCGAGAAAGAATGGAAGCAGTGATCTTCTCACACCGAAGCCCTTGTCGTCGCTACACACGATTATCGTGGATTGCTCGGTACGTGTGTGTGTGTGTGTGTGTGTGTGTGTCTGTATATATTTAGTTCACCACCGTCGTATCAGAGAACATCAGAGGGGAGACGTCGAGCGCAGTGACGTGAAAAAAAAAGTTCTATTTTCGTGACACGCACATGGCACACTGTTCTCAACGGACGAATGTAAACGTTGAGAAATAGTACACGGGGTCAGCGTCACGATTGCAGCTGCAATGCGATACGAGATGAATACAACGGTGTGTCATTGAATTTGGAGAATGGTCAGGCACGAAAAATCTTATTCGATTCTAACAGAGACTAAGAACCGCACTCCGCGAACAACCGTGACAGACTGAGCACACGCCAGTTCACTTCGCCCTTACGTGCTCCTACTGCCATCGGCGCGTGTATATATACATTAGGTATGTATATTGTATGCTGCATGCGACCGGCGAGCAGACGCATGCTCCGACCACCGAATTGCGCAGGGATGTTTACCCATGTGGGTGATCCTTTGTACGGTATGACCGTAGAAAATGTTAAATCGTGGGTTCATTGTCTGGAACCCTGGGACCCTTTCCGACGTATACATATACCTGCTGTTCAGGTTACGTACAGAGTAATTTTCTGACCGATTCTCGTTAATCCTTTCTTTACGATGTATTGTATAATGGTTCGATAAGTTTAGTGGATACACAGATCCCCCTATTACACGGGTACATTCCGTGTTATACGAGTCGCCGTAGGTTATACATTCCGTATAAATCGTTCCTATATCCAAAGTGGTTAAATCCATTAAAATTGCCAAGGAAATTTATCTTAACGACAAACCTACCGAACCCTTCAGGGAGGTAGGATTTAGAACGGCACAACCGGTCATTTGACTGGTCGTCGTGGTAGTTTAAATGTGAAAATTTCAGCACCAACCTTAAAGTGCTTTGGCGTTAAATTTGAAAAAATTCAACCAATCGAAACAATCACTTCGGCCTGTGAACGCCCCATACACGTGAACAGTGTATGCATGTGAAAACCGCGTATTTACGTAAGAGTTAGTTATAAAAAATGTAGAATTAATAATGAAGCTGCTCCGTGTGATAATAGTCCTAATTAGAAGGGGGAGAACGTAAGCTGATCTGCCGTGTTATGTGAAACCCGTGTTGTATAGAGGGTTTCTAGTGCAGTAGTGCTCGTCGAGTGTCGAGTGTATCGGCGCATTGTCTCGCGAGAGAGACAGTTGAAAGTCAGGGACGGCAGAGACATTAGACTACTGGTATAAATAGACTTCGCGAGTCGTAAAGTAAATACTTTAGCAACCGTGCACCTTTCCCCGTTAATAAACACCGGACATTGTGCCTTCCCGTTTGTTTAACCAGGAAGAGAGGAAAATGAAGCAACAGAGGTTGCATACGGATGCAACTGACTCGAGCTGCTAGAGTACATTGAACCTAACTAGGTAGATGATGGAAAAGCATGCGCGCGGATTGGTGTCTCGGGCGCGTCCGCCTTGTGTTGCATAGACCCTCTTTCCACCTGTATTTTACTGGCTTGCGATCCTTTTCTTTTGCATAAAAAGTAATACCTCCGTTGTGACCGTCTAAGTGGACGCGCTTATCCAGGCGCATCTAGTCTCACGGCTCGAAATTACTGTCTTCCGAAGAAAATACATGTTCCTTGCGATCATAGCTTATTATTGGAGTATCATGGTTATGCATGTAACTCGAAACGAAGGAATTGCTCCGCCATCTTGGAAAATTGTATCCTTAGGCTTTAGACGTGTGTGGTAGAAAGGAGCAGAAGTAACACAATCATTGGATATCTTAAACGAACAAAAGAAGACGTAAGACTTTTTACGTTCACCGAGACCAATCAGTCTTGTAATCACTAGATTGATTTTTTTAACTAAAAGGTCACATGCATCTGCAAGTGTTCCAATCACTTCCTCCGATACACAAATTATGGCGCGCACGAGTTTGAAATTTTAATGGCGATATTTTTATGAAAGGTATACTTTTATTCGTAATAAACACATTTTTATAAAATACAATTAAGAGTACGCCAATTTAGTACAGCTACTGTGCACCTGCGCGCTGGCGCACGCGATCTTTTACAAAAGTATATTGATTTGTTTTATCGGATTCGACCAGGCTAATAATCTTTCACGTGTAAAGATGTGTATATAATTTATCCCATTTGTGTAAATAGATATAAACATATGTATGTCCCGTTGAAGTACATTGGTCGAGTTGGCATTACATGTATATATAGATACTTGTGTGTGTGTGTGTGTATACATATATATAAAAAACGAAGAAAAAACAATCGAACGGTTTTTCGATCGCGTACCAAATCAATGCCACGACCCTCTAACAAATGTTTAAATTATGAAAGTGAAATATTCGACTCGTATCGAGAACCGACGATAGACTTGTGTGTATCTTTAAAGCTTTTTACAGTACTCTTTCTCTACTACCTGCCCTCCCCCCCTTCACGTAACTTATAGTTTTATATAAAAAGTAGGCTCCGCTTAGAAAATATAAATTGATTAATAGGATATACGTTCTACGTATAAGAGACACGTTAATTGGAAGAGTTACGATGTGCATAAAAGATTTACTTCTTTTTTTTCTCCATCGTGTACTCGCTGGTTGCCGCGCGATAACAAAGAGAACGTTCACGTATTACGAGATACACAGATGTGATGCGGTTGGCAAGATAATTAGCTTTCCTAGCGCAGTTTCTTTCGTTTTACGAAAAAAAAAAACATATTTAATCTTTCGTAACTCTCCTGCATCGTCAAAATCACAGCCATTGGTGGTTAAAAAATTGTGATCGCTCGCGAAACGTTGTCAATTAAGGCCTCTTATTGTTTTTTTTACTTGTTCTCCAAAAGAATAAAGTAGCAGCGCTTTGATATCCGACAAAGCTGTCCTATACTCGTATCGGGATCGTCTCGCACACGTTATTCCCGATTCTCGCTTCTCTTTCTCTCTCTCAGGCACACAGACACGCATACACAGTCACACATCGATGCAGGTTGACTTGAGAACGTCAACATGCTTACATACGTGCATACTAGAACGTTGTGCTACGTATCGTGTAATTAAACAAATATAAAAGGACGAAATAGTACCCTGAACGAAATGTAATATCGCGTTTGTCACTGTATAGAGTCGTTGTGTTTTATCGTTGTAAAACTAATTAAAAACAAAAAGAACGAATAAATTACGTCAGTTTAGATCTCACGGATTCAATGTTTAACAATTGTAAGCATGCCCTTGGGGCGGTCTTTGCGATGACATCCCGCCGGTTGCGTTTCTAGAGATGCAATTTCTTCGTCGATCGATAATCATCGATGAAGAAACTGTTTAAACACGGCATCGAGGGTATGCCCACCTCTCGATCAGTCATTATTTTGTCCTAAAACACGGGGCGAATAACACCGAAGACGCGCGTTTATCCTGGCATCCCACTTGTATACAGGTTGCACGCTCGAATATCGATAAATTTGTACAAGATGATCGTCTATCGCGCAGTCTTCAGTTTCCAGCGAAGGAACAGATAGGCAGCGATTCGAAGAACGAGGAATATCAAGAGCAGAGCAAGAATGTCGAGAGTGAAGTCCGCGTCGAGCATGTCCAGCTCCTCCAGGGTTGTTTCCGGATTTTTAAAGTGGCAGTAGACCTGGAAGAGTTCATCCCGGTGAGAGGAATGCCGATCGTAAAAGATTTACGATCTTCGAGACTCGGAAAGCCAGAAGAACCGACGATAGCCTTAGCATAGACCAGTGTTTCCCAACCCTTTTTAGATCCTACCTCACCTCAACGGCTCAAAGATCTCGATGCACCCCTGACATATAATAGCGAACCAAGTTCTGAAGAAGTTTAACATTAATAGCTGCTTTAAATACAAATGCAAAGTATTCAAATTGCCCCTGGAGCGTACGCCCTGCACGTTGGGAAACACTGGCATAGACCTTGAAGGATTTACTCCTTACCTGGAAACACTTGAGTTTCTCCCGACCGAACGAATAAGTGGCCAACGCGGTCCCCTCGAACCCGTATCTGATGTAGCTCAGATAAGTGATCCATCTGAGGTACACAGGAATGGCGTCGAAGCTGACAAAGAACCCGGAGAACAGAAGGAACGGCACGGACATAACAGGCGCCAGGAATACACCGTTCTGCACGTTCATCGCCGCTCCGACCACAAGTCCAACTGATTGCGCGACGAACGATATCAAAAGACACGTGCCCAAGAACATACTAAACCTCATAGTGTCCGTTGGCTGACTCGTCAGGAAATACACGATCGTCACGTATAGTATGCAGAATATCGCCTGCGAAAGAAAGGATCGATCAGAACTGGTTTCTATTAATCTTTTCGACAAAAGGATGTGTCTTTTTTCTTTTAATTCTTATCCATTATTACCTGGAAGGGTATATCGGACACCGTTATCGCCAGATAGTAGGACTTGAGGGAATACCATCGGTTAAAGTTCTCCTTGAGAAGCACCGGTAACTCCAGTGGAACTATTAAAAAAAGTATAGCAACGTTAAGCTATCATGGTCAGAGAGTAGGCTCACAGACGAGGTATAGGAGTAAACATTTCATCCAATGTATGTTTCAGGCCTACTTTTCTGGGACAACTTCGCCCCCATTTTAGTGTCACTACCCGCCGTACATTCACCGTTCTCATGACGTACGCTAAAATCACAGGCTTTTTAAAGTGTCGGACTACAGTTTAAGTGGGCCACCAACTATCATGAGATGAAAGGTCTATTTTTATACCTCGTCGGTGGAAGGACGAAGAATAATAACGGTATAGAGGACGTACAAGAAAGAATCGTGATGGTCATGGACGTGTACATGAGAAACAGCATGTTAAAGAAGAGGAACCCAAGATTGCTAAGTACTTTAGCGCCGTCATTTCCGATGTCGTAGTATAGCGCGCCGATCAGTAATCCTACCAGAACGTGAGCGAACAGTCGTAGGTACATAAGAGTCTGAAAGTAACAGAATAAGTCCCGTTTCAGTTCCAACTAAGGAAATCTGGAAAATACGATATGAAACCAGTAAGTCAAGAACACTCACCCAGTCTCTGCGACTGAAGAGCAACGTTCTCCTCAAAACGATCCAGAATTGCTGATACTCCGACGTGGGATACCGTTCTGGCGTCACTATGATCGAATCGTCGAGCAACGCCACGTCTGCGTTCTCCTTCTTGTCTGCGTCCATGGATATCACTACGTCCGCTACAGGAAGTCGAAGAAAAAGGCAAATTGAGTTTCGAACGTTTGCGTCCGATTTACTTGACACACCCTGTATAGTTCGTTAGTTTCATCCACAATACCTAGTTTCACGATATCGTTGGTGGCGAAAGAAGGAATAATCCCCCCGTTGTTCAAATCTTTCGTTTTATTGTCCTGAAATTTCTCCTCCAGATTCTTCATGTCATTTTTGTTCCTCGCCTCTGCGTTTTCTCCAGCGTCAACGTTCTTTTGCAATGACTCGCTCGGTCCATTATTCAGCCCCTCCGATTTATTCTCGGGGAACGGATAACCTTCCCGGATATCGTACTTTCCGTTCTTTATGGCATTCACCAGGCTCTTGATATTGTCCCCGTATTCGCCGCAGGACACCTCTATGACTGTGGGGATCAGATTACGGAAATGAGTATCGGATTTTAGACATATCATTTACATGCAATGACGTGCACAGTCGGCTTTCGCTTAGGGAAAAAGTGACGTAGGGGAAGGAGATCCCAACACTTGGTATCGTGAATTACTGAAATTTATATGGAATTAATATTTGATTAAACCTTTATTTCGGTACTCGAAATAAATTTACAAAGTGGGTAGCAGGTCCTTCCCTCACGCCACTTTTTCCCCTAGCGTATGAGTCGTATACAGGGTGATTCACCCAACGGACTTGAATTATTTGTAAACTATTTTTTGCATGAAAAAATATTTCAAGAAAAGTTACAAGGTATCAACGGGAGTAGTATTTTATCATTTTTCTCAGTAATTTTTCATTTTTGGGCCCACTTGACTCAATAGTTTTTTACTCAGCATTTTACATTCTTTCCAACTGCGCGACCAAATTTTACAAATTACAATAAAAAAACTCAACCTTGGTGTCTCGATAAAAACGCAAAACAACAAAAAAACTAATAATTGTATTATGTGCCCCCCTTGATACCGTACAATTTTTGTTTGAAACATTGTTTCATATACCAAACAGTTTACAAGTAATTTAAATGGAAACGTTTGGTGAATAACCCTATATCTATGAGTTCGAGACTCACTGAAAGAGGCCGGATTGTGGTAGCTTGGACAGTTCAAGCCGATATTGCGAAGGAACGGGACCAGCTGCGACGTGGATCCTTGGTACACGCATTGTCCCTCGGCCAACGTGTACAGAGCATCGAACATTTCGAACAGCCTGGCGCTGGGCTGATGAATCGTGCAGATTATCGTCCGCCCACCACGGGCCAGAGTCTTCAGTAGCGAGATACATTGGAAGCACGACGACGAGTCCAGACCACTGCGAACAAGCAAACGGTAAAAAGTCAATAAATGTACCAAATAACCTCTTGAGGGATATTGGCACATATGTGTGCGTTTATGTGTTTTTTTTTTTCATTCCAGCATGATTCCGAAAGGTGCAATGAACATTATGGTGAATAAATATTCGTTAGAAAATTTCCCCACAAAAAAGGTGAATGCATCTTCTTTTTAAATACCACCATGCTACAGATCGCTGAATTCGTCCTTCCAACGACAACAACGTGGTATTAAAAAAAAGATGTATTAGAAAAAAATACGAACCAAGGTGGATTCACAAATGGAAATCGATCAGAGCAATCCATCTCTCCTCTTTTTCGTCTAACTAGACTTTACTGGGAGTACAGACGTGGACCTTGAGTCGAGACTGGTCATTGATCGCGATTATTTTCTTTTACATTATCGCCTCGAAGGAAAAACAAGTAGGCACATACTGGCCTCGACGGAACCGGTTCAATAAATGTCAAATGGGATATTAATTTGGCATAAATTTCAGTAACTCCCAAAACTAATAGAGTCCTTTCACCTACCTCACTTTTTCCCCTAGCGGAAGTCGAGTTTGTTCTTCGGTGTACAGGTTGGTATGCATGACAAAATTCCGAAATTTCGAAAAAAACATTGCACACACGATGTCAGTGAAAGCGAAAGTAGGAAAAAAGTGTTTGGGAAATGTCGACATTGGTCGTGCACTTTCTCCTGTCCGTTATTGCCGGCGTTCGTTCTTCCATTTCATCGCGCAAAATACGTATTTCACGTGTTTCTTTCTTATTATTTTTGTCACGTCTGTTATAAAATTATACACAGTCAAAATTATAGTTGTGTTCACAAATGTTAAAATTACTGTACACTGCAAATGTGCAATCCGAGGAGGTTAACTTACTAGTTTATTATAAAGAAACAGCTGTTTACTTATTGATACACCGAATATACATAATTTCCACGGCGTAAGCAATGGAAGAGAACTTGGAACGCTTCCTCGCTGACACTGACCGTGTCTGCGTTAAAGCGTTATATAAAAGCCAGACAGGTTTCTCTGGCTCCGATAGCAGTGAAAGTGAAAGAATACGTAATAAAACGAAAGAAAAAATGGAAAGAGTATCTGCTTTCAAGATGACTGTGCGGTCCGACGATCGGTGACTTTCGAACAATTTCAAGTGTACTGTCGCCTAAGGTCAACCGACACGAACCTGAAGAGTCGCACGCCTTCTTACGCTTGTTTTTCTTTCGCTCATAAACGCGTTAGGCGCTATAAAAGTAACGGCATCACCACCTGTTACGATCTCAGGTGTACACCGGGCTAAAATTATAAGGACGTAGCGTCGAATCGGCTTAGTAATTTAACTTTTAAACGAGACGAGGATCGTTCACAGCGGTTGAGTAACCTTTCGTTCGCAATCTTCGTCGATCGAGGAGGCAACAGAATTGCACAAATGTTGTGTATGTACATACACTACCGTTCAGAAATATCCGGACACTTTTATGGGAATGGAAATCTGTTGAATATTTTCTACACGAAATGTCTTTTACCTCGTCAGAAGCGAATAGATTAAATTGTTACAGAAGAATATAAGTGATATTTAGTAAGAAAAAAAATTTTAAATTAAATATCCCATTTACTTTTGACTTTCAGGAAAATTATTTTAACAAATGATCGAAGTGATGTCCATTAATTTTGACGCATTTTCCCACTAAGCATGTAGGGGGCTCTGAATTCTACCATTTTACTCCCCTACAGCCCCGAGTATGGCAATATAGTTAGAGTCCACTGTATTTGGAAAATTTGAATTGTGCCTGTGTGATGTTTTTTCATCGAAATTCTCTGTGGATCATATTTTTTCCTTACCTGGTAGGCTCATCGAAGAACATGATCGGCGGGTTATTCACTAATTCGAGGGCGATCGAGAGCCTCTTTTTCTGACCACCGCTCAGGTTGGAGGTCATGGTTCGAATATGCTCCGACAGACCGAGCGTCTCAAGGATCTCCTGGATCTAAAAAAACCGTGATAAAGTATTCCGTTAGCGAGTTAACAAACTCAACATAGTTTCGCTCCGAGACGATCGCCGCGAAAACACGTCAGCCAGAATGATTTTTTCTTATTTTCTTGCGGTTTATCGTTCTGTCTTCTCGGGTTTAGAATACTACACTACCGGCCAGACAAATTTGGGTACGTCTACTGCATTTGTAAATATGAATGGTACGATTTTAAAGTTTCGCCGTGTTTGAATATCGTGGACATTCTTGGTATAATTTTACTGTTACAAAAAATACGCCTCTAGCCATCCTTTCTTTCGCGATTTTTTGTTTTCTTTTTTGGTCACTTGTAATATGTATTTGAACTTTAACCGGAACCAGCAGTGCCGGATTAAGGGGGGGCTATAGCCCCAGACCCCACTTTCAATGGGGGCCCCGATCTAACCCTTCCGTTTATGTCTAAAATTAATTGAATGAAATTTTGTTTACTGTTTCCCATTTGAAACAATAAAAAATTGTACTAAATATAGAAATCAATCGAATCAATGTCGTTAAAATATAAGGATGCAGTGTTCGTTACGATCAAGCGTTCGTTGGGATTAAACGATATTTAATTTAACTTAGAATAAATTTCAATTTTTTAAGATTAATGCCGTCTTTCGCAGAGAACCAGACAGGAAATTTCATAGCGAACCTACCACTTCCTCCTTTACCGCTTTGCTGACATGGGAACCGAGCTTAAGGTTCGAGGCGACTTTCATGGCCTCGGCCACCGTTAAATTCGCGTGTAGTTGATTGTCCTGCATGATATAGCAAGAGAGCTTTCTGAAGGCACTGAGGTTCCTCTCGTGGCCGTTCATCGTGATACTACCTTCCACGCCGGTCGACCTGAAACACAGACACACACACGCGCGCGCGTTTGGAATACAGGTATATTTTTCACCTGTTTCTTGAGACCGTATCTCTCGATCCACGCGTTCGTCAGTTCGTAAACGGCAAGGGTAAACCTTTCAGATTTCTATCTAAGAATTAATGAAAAACACCGGGTGTGTCCGATTTTTCGTATACGCATAATTTATCTACACGTCTGACAAACGGCAACACCACCGTTATGACGTCAGACCAAAAACGAAATGGAATAATACCGGGCGGAAGGAACGTCGATCACGAGGCTCTCGAATTATGGTCGTCGATCGGTTGAATTCGGTCACAGCCGACATACCATCGAATAGAACCGGTTTCACCTCGCGGATCTGTTAACGAGCTTATGTATCTCTTTTTTTAATTTTTTTTTTATTGTTCCTCAGTAAACATGTCGCAAGAAAAATCAGTACACAGCATCCCGGCGCCTCGTCTCTAGCGATGCCCGATACAATTCCGATATATGTATGTAGATATCGATACATCGGTTCGTGTATATTTTAGGCAATGATACATCGGTGTGTAAACACTCCGCGACTCGATATTGAAGCCTCGATACGAATGGATGAATTTAATTACTAGATTGCGGAAGTTCATGCAAATTCACAGCTTCAGATACTAATATATGAAAATTAAAATTCCCTGTGATCTTTTTTTTTTCTTCGCGGATTAGCGAATCAGTGATTTAGAAAGTACGACGCCGGGATGAGTTCCAAAAACAAAAAACGCTATTACGAAAAAAAAATTGCGTAACAGTGAATGTCGAAGAAAGCGAAATCGCGTATCCCCGGAAGAAAGTGAGATTGTGACCATACGAATCGTAAGTAGAATGCTTATTTTTCGGGAAAAAAGATCGAAGGCTTTGCTGTATAGATGTCTAGCTCCAGCTGACTCGCTACTATTGATTTTCCCGTTGACTCATTATCCGTGAAAAAAAAAAAAAAGAAACGGCACCGAGTCAAATTGATAATGACGGACGACGGAGCCGGAAAACTTAACATGAACGTGTGTGTAATGACTCACTTGTATCCGGTCAGAATGTTTAAAAGAGTAGACTTTCCTGCCCCGGATGGCCCCATAATCGCCGTCAGCTCGCCGGATCGTAGCCGTCCGCTGACGGACTTCAAAATCGTTTTTACATCTGAAAATTAATCGCATAATTTCATAAGTTTATCAATTGTTACGATATCACCTCAAATCATGTCCATCGCATGAAACATATTAAAAGTACACTTTCACGTGACAGTAAAAGTCATGGTTTTTGCTGTCGTGACACTGTATGACAATGTAAATTATTGTAAATCGATGTTACGACACGCGACATCTAGTTTTCACGGTGACAAAAGTCGTAGTATTTAGTGTCGTCACCATGAAAGTCGCCATTTACTGACACGTAAAAACGTACCCCGGCTTGAGAGGTTAGGAATACTGATAGAAACAGATATACGTTCACCTTCGGTGGTTCTAGCGTGAAAAACGTAAATGCGTCTTCTCTTCTGACCGTAAACGATTAATCATATTGTGTAGTCGGGTTGTAACTGGTGTACATACGTATATAATACTGTCTGTTTCGCCAGGAAACAACAGAGAGAAACAAAGGAAATCGCTTCGACAAGTGACTTCAACGGTGCGTGGAAAGGCATCGCTTCCCTACA